TATTTCTGCCTTTTTTATTCCGTTTGTTACTGTAGCTACTAAGTTACAAAAAGTAAAATTCGAGAGGACTGGCTCTATTGAACGAGGTCTTATCCCTCATGACTCACCCACTCTCTTAGAATGACTAGTACCTGCCTAGAGCGGGGATACAAAGCAGGGACTCTGTAACTCTGGCGATGAGCCTCGGGGAACTAAGTAAAAATTACCCTTATAGACTGAAGGACGCAGCCCTGATATAGACCTACCACCTTGACAATATGAGATAAACGGCTTTACCACAATGCGCGGAGACGTGATGATGCTGTTAACGTATTACATTGCCACATTAGGATCATAATATTATACTCTAATGTACACGGTCAGCTCTGTGGCTAAGTCGATGCGAACGCTTCGTAATGCCGGGATGCCGGGTTCGATCCCAGCTGCCGGTCATGAGCCTTGCGTTGGTTTCGACAATGGTATCAAGAAAGCCGACCGTCCAGGAGCAATGGCAAACTACTGGACGTAAATTTGCCTAGAAAAACCACACAACAGCAAGGGGCTGTTCGGGTTGGTTCTGCAACGTCCTGTAAATGATACGCAACTAACCTAATGTAAACGACTCAGTGACAGTTAGAGACAGCGATTAACATTTTCATGATCCCAGATTACCAGGGTGCGCTCCCCGCAAACAAACAAAAACAAACAAACTAACTTCTTTTCGTGGTTTTAGGACTGTGGTATAAGAATTGGGGAAGAGACTGGGGAATCATCATGTAATATTCCCAAAGAAAACAGTGATGCAGTATTGCCAACCTTCATTATGCAGACGTCACCGAATTAATATTATAATGTACTCATGCTGGCTGAGTAGTTGGAAAAAACCAAACTCAGGGCTTTCATGCGGAAGACCTGGGTTCGAATCATTGATAAGATCATATGTTTTTCTTTGTTATGGAAAACATAAAATCCTAACCTGCACAGTTCGTGGCGACAGCACTAGCCTTGCAGCCTTAAATTCTTAGACTTGAAGACCTTACTGCTTAGATCGCAGAAGTTGTAAATACTGACAGTTTCTTGTTAACGTTTTTCTCCACTCTGCGAATGTTTCAGGAAAAAATTTGAATAACGGGTTTGAACAACGGATCAACATCATGGCACACGGGTAGTAACCCATAAGTGCTACTTTCTTCTTCTAACTCAAGTCTGAGTCCAAAGAAGCTCAGCACAGTGCACAGACTCTGTAGCACCAGCGAGGACCCTGCAATACTTTGGGTAGATTTTTAACTCTAAATCTGGCCCGGGCAGCGCCGTAAGGCTACACTTTTCGATTACCAATCGCCTAGGGATTATATGCGTGTGCAACAATGCACACGGGCGTCCGATCTCACTACCCAGAGAGACCAGGGGGAATTACTAGAGGTCCAAGTCCACGTGAAAAAATCCCAGTCCTTACCAGGGATTGAATGCGGAACCTCTAGCACTCTAGGCAGACCCATGCCTAGAGATCACGCAGCCCCCTGTATGTACTATATGGCTCCAAAGCCGCAACGTTCATTTTTGTTCGTGTTTGTTATATTGTAGAGCTCGCTGATATACTTTAGATTTATATCTTTCAGTCAGTTTCGGCATGCAAGAGATTGGAACCTCATCAGGTAATATTGCCAAAGGTATCAGTTGATGCACTGCATCTAACCTCTGCAGTAAAGACAACCTTTCTTAGAAATGCTTCTGCTTTTGGGGAAGCCGCCGTGGTCTAGCGGCTAGACGCTCGCCTGCGGATCGGAAGGTCGTGGGTTCGATTTCTGACAAAGTCCATACATTTGTTCAAAAATGACGTTAGACTCCAGGTCGACACAGCCTTGAATGGGTACCAGGCACAGTACTGGGACGTAAAGGTGGTCAGCGTGATGCTGACCACATTACCCACCAAGTGCCGTTTGGTCTAACAAAGATAGGTCTAGCCCTATATACCCAATGTCCATAAAGGCGTGGAAAAGGGTCCTATACTTTACTTCTGCTTTTGAGCGTGGATACGTAAATAGTAACAATTATCTGGGACTATAAAGGTAATTGGTGATATGAAAGATTTGGCATTACATGAGTTAAATATGACACTTTCTCTTTGAAAACAAAAAAAGATAAATAAATCAAAATTCAAATGAATGGAAAACGATGCGAACTACAACCTAGATAGGTGATCGATAAATGTGTTTAGAATTCAGCGGATTTAAGGGTTTTCCGACCGTGTATAGATATTATTGACCTCATTTCACTTTCTGGACGTCTGCACATCTACCAAGCGCAAACAACGCTGCACATATTTGCCAGCTCCCAAGTCCATCAATATTTACTGAATTCAATCAGGTACAGACATACATTCATGGTCTGTCGTTCCTAACCGGAAAGTGAATATGGACATAGAATTTGAAATCAGGTCCCAGTACTCGACCTTCAGTATATTTTAAGAGATGGCGGCGTGATTTGAGTGCCTGTTATAGAATTGAGACACAAGAAGGTGTAGGAAATCAAAATACGATAAAAAAATATAAAGGAATGTGTGTGTGTGTGTGTGAGTGAGTGTGTATGTGTGTGTGTGTGAATGTCTCTATGTCCTTGTGTTTGTCGGGCTCTATGCGTGTATCCATTAATACGTCTAGCTGACTGTCAGTCTACGTTTCTACCTATCTATATGTCCGCTGCCATATGATTTTAAATACAGGTAAAACTGCTGACAAATTAGCGTTCTACCTACTGGGCCATTACGGCTCTATAAGACACGGTACATAAAGGTGCCCACATGATGAAAACAGGAACAGAAAGGGAAAACGGAAACATGGTATCTCAAGCAGAAAGATTTACATTTTTACCCCATGCATTTATTCAGGGCACTGTAATCAGATCAGAGAGTGGATATCAGAATACACAGATGTAGTCCCCAAGGACGCGGACAGCGTCGTTACAGAACGGATAGATTTCTTGTGCAGATCGTCAGAACGAAGTTCTTCAAGACAGATAAATATTGTTTAAGCCGTTGTTCTTTTGTCCTGAGTGCGCCAGATAGTTGGGTGCTTTTCTACTTGCAAAGTGCACGCTCAAAGAAAGCAACTAAGGAGGAAGGAGCCTTAAGAAATCGGGGTGATGGTAGAGTCCAATAAAAAATTTCCGGGAGAGTATGGCCCTTTAGGTAGCATAAGTCTTTTTTAGCTGCGTACAAGAAATAATAATAAAGCAACGAGGTCTGATGCCAGAGCTGACTGGGCTTTGAGATAAATGTGTCTATGTGATTTTTCTATACGATTTTTAGATGTGAGTGTGTGTAAATGTGAGTGTGGGCGTATGTGTGAAGAAAAAAAAAGTTAATTTAGCCACCCTTAGTGCACGAAAGCCTGGCATATTATATCACAACATCTAGTTTCAGAATGCAGGTAAAGACTGAAACTGCAGCCTTCTGCTGCCCTGAGAACTAGTTGCATACACACGTCGTAACTGTAACTTTCCCAACGGCATGTTGAAAAAAGCGGAGACAGTGGTACTCTGTGCAGAGAGTCAAGCATACTTTCAGAGATCGCATGTAGAATGAGTCCTTCAGAAATTTCTCCAGCTGACGAAGGTGTGTTGGGAAATGAGCTTGCAGAGGGGTATGCTGGTTTTTCACCATTTGGTGATAGTTTCATGCAGGATAATCTAGATATTGTCAAGTCCCTTCGGCAGAGACTTTCTGGAGGAACTAAAATATCAGCAAGGCCTGAAGAGAATGGTGGAGCGAGAGGAATCGTGTGATCTGGCCGAAACTCAACATACAGGAATACAGCAAGACGGCCATACAATCAAACTGCTATTCTGACAGCATGGGAATTGTAACTCTTTACTAGCTGCTGAAGATACGGACGGAACGCGTATGGGAATGTCATTGTGCTATGGTGTCGGTTCATGGCCTAGCTCGACTTGACAGTTCACGAAATATGTTTACCTAAATTATTGGACTTTTAAACACAATTGCTTTGGTGCCTCGACTGTGAGAAAAGCAGACTTCTTCTCCTTCTTCTTCTTCTTCTTCTTCTTCTTCTTCTTCTTCTTCTTCTTCTTCCTCTTCTTCTTCTTCTTCTTCTTCTTCTTCTTCTTCTTCTTCTTCTTCTTCTTCTTCTTTTCTTCTTCTTCTTCTTCTCTTTCTTCTTCTTCTTCTTCTTTTTCTTCTTCTTCTTCTTTCTTCTTCTTCTTCTTCTTCTTCTTCTTCTTCTTCTTCTTCTTCTTCTTCTTCTTCTTCTTCTTCTTCTTCTTCTTCTTTCTTCTTCTTCTTCTTCTTCTTCTTCTTCTTCTTCTTCTTCTTCTTCTTCTTCTTCTTCTTCTTCTTCTTCTTCTCTTTCTTCTTCTTCTTTTCTTCTTCTTCTTCTTCTTCTTCTTCTTCTTCTTCTTCTTCTTCTTCTTCTTCTTCTTCTTCTTCTTCTTCTTCTTCTTCTTCTTCTTCTTCTTCTTCTTCTTCTTCTTATTCTTCTTCTTCTTCTTCTTCTTCTTCTTCTTCTTCTTCTTCTTCTTTGTTCACCGGCTATAAAGCTCAGCCAGTTTTGCGTGTACATCTGTTTTGCTGGCTTATTTGTGTGATGCTGGTTGTTCCTGGCAGCTGGAACTGATGAACATCAAAGGACAAGTTCATATTTCAATAACCTATCCGCCCCCGCCCATACCACCTTAACAGTGAAATGATTCTCTTAACGCCCTTTACAATCAAAATCTCTCCTACCACGCTCCCCCCGCCCCCTTTTTTTAAACAATCAAATCACCCCCCCCCCCCCACCCCCCCACCCCACCCTCCCCCTTTTTAAAACAATCAAATCCCCACCCCCACCCTTTTTTTTTTTTGAAAAGGTTTACTCATTTATTTATTTTTTTTTACTTTTTCAAATCATTACAGTATAATGTAATTAATTCTTCCTTAGTTTATATTCTTTCTGTATGATCTTTAAAAAAAAAAAAAAAAAGTTGCACAATATACTATCAAGCATTTCTTGAAACCATCTCTGTCACAGATCTTTCTTCATCCAGATAACACAGTTGGGATTCATCTTTATGATGGCTCGACTATACGATCTAAGAGGAGCTGTTGGATGTGAGCAGTTGTTTGTTGGAGGAGGAGGTGCTGGTGGAGTAATACTGATTACAGTCTGTTCACAATTAGATTCACATGAATTCAGACGTGCAGTGGTGGTATTATCACTTCTGTTCTCTAAAAGTAAAGGTGTTCCGCTGGGAGGCTGGCAAAGTGTGCCATTTGAATGATGATCAGTGATGACTGGCAGTGAACTGTTAGTTCCCATCAGTTTTTAAACAGAGCTTCAGGCACTCTATGAGCATTATCTCCGAGACTGATCACTGGGCTGCATCTGACATATCCATGGCATAGAAGCTATCTTTGTCTATAGTGTTTAGGTATACAGTTCTCGTACCAAGTCTTCTTGCATAGTCTTCTGTAAGATTCATCAGTACTTTCCCCAAACCTTTGCCCCTGTCCATTTCTCTCACAATGACTGATCCCACAAGACAAGCATTTGAAATTCCCTGCACAGATGACAGTTTGCTAAACCCAAGGACTTCTGTCTGACTGCCACCTTGCTTTATAAATGCCAAACAAACATGCAACTGGTCGCAAGACTTGCTGAGAGCATGACTTCTTGCTGCCAGTATGCATTCAAAATTTATGCGCAGGCATCAGTCAGTTTTGGGTGCTTGTGCAGTGGAGCCACTTCCATGTTTTTTTTTTTCCATTAGATATGCATGAGTCTTTGCGTAATGTTTACTTTCTATTCAAGACTTCAAACGTTTGGTTTTTTTATGCATGTTTTATCATGAAGTCTGTCTTTTTTTTTAAATTGAATAATTGTAACATCCCCCCCCCCCTCCCTTTGCCCCGTGGATGTTGGTCCCCACGTTAGGAAACACCGTTTTAACTGCTGCACCAAGGAACTCCTGTAGAAAAAGCATTTAACCCGATAAATGTCCCAAGGTAATCAAAATAGACCGATAGCAGGGAAATCACACTGGTATAAAAAAAAAAAAAAAAGGAGGCACGACAAGCCAACAAAACAAATAAGATAAAGTACAAAGGACTCAGACACAGTAATGTTATTTTCGACATTTGAAGCTCAGCCACGTGGAAGTAATCAGCTTGAACGCTACTCCCACAGGACAGAAAGAGACAATAAGATAAAGACGACGGCAAGGAGAAGAAAAGGATACATTATGGACGTACTTGGAGCGGGACGCAGTGACGAATAGCCGTGTCTTTCGTTGACTGATCCTCGGTGAAGAAGGTATAATAGATTCAGAATGTCCTGATTAACTTTTTTTTTTCCTTTTTTTTTTCTTTAGACATTAATTCTACTCTGCCCCCCCCCCTTTTTTTTTCTCCCTTTTTTTGTCCATTAGACATTAATTCTATTCTCCCCTTCCCCCCCCCTTTTTTTTTATCTTGTTTCCTATGGTTTATTGAGAAGAAGTGAGTACATTCAATGTGATTCCGTGCCTTAAAGGTTGCTGAAATCGTTTCATAATGCAATTGTTGATGTACAAGGGCTTAAACCTGCGGCGAATGGCTCAGAAAAAGATTGTTCGCTTGGCTTTCAAACAGTGGCATGAAAGTTTGACCGTTTAAGAGACTGGAACCCTATCAGGTACTATTGCCAAAGACTACAGTTGATACACTCCGTCTAAACTCCAAAAGGGAGACAAAACTTTTCATAATTTCTTCTGCTTTTGTTGCTGCAGCTATTCCTGTTGTTTTCTTTAGTAGGAAGAAGTTAAAGAAGAATACGAAGAAGTAGAAGAAGAAGAAGAAGAAGCAGATAGAGAAGGGAAAAAAAAAGAAGAAGCAGATGATGATGATGACGAGGATGATGATGGTAATAATGATGATGAATTAGTAGTAGTAGTTTTAGTGGTGGTAGTAGTAGTAGTAGTATTTTTAGCAGCAGTAACAAAAGTGGTGATATTTATGCTGGTGGTAGTAATAATGGTATCTGTCGTTTGGTGATGGTGGTAGTAGTAGCAGCAGAAGCAGCAGCAGTAATTGTTGTAGTCTTGGTGGTGGTGGTGGTAGCAGTAGTAGTTGTAGCAGTAGTAGTAGTAGTAGTAGTAGTAGTAGTAGTAGTAGTAGTGGTGGTGGTGGTGGTAGTAGTAGTAGTAGTAGTTGTTGTTTTTGTTGTTGTTGTTGTTGTACTTGTAGTAGTAGTAGTCGTAGTTGTAGTAGTAGTAGTAGTAGTAGTAGTAGTAGTAGTAGTAGTAGTAGTGGTGGTGGTGGTAGTAGTAGTAGTAGTAGTTGTTGTTTTTGTTGTTGTTGTTGTTGTACTTGTAGTAGTAGTAGTCGTAGTTGTAGTAGTAGTCGTAGTAGTAGTAGTAGTAGTAGTAGTAGTAGTAGTAGTAGTAGTAGTAGTAGTAGTAGTAGTAGTAGTAGTAGTAGTAGTAGTAGTAGTAGTAGTAGTAGTAGTAGTAGTAGTAGTAGTAGTAGTAGTAGTAGTAGTAGTAGTAGTAGTAGTAGTAGTAGTAGTAGTAGTAGTAGTAGTAGTAGTAGTAGTAGTAGTAGCAACAGCAGCAGCAATTATCGTAGGAGTTTTAGTAGCAGCAGCGTTCGGGATAGTATAAAAAAAAAGTAATTAGGATACAACGCAAACAGCACAATAGGAAGCGTTACAACGCCAGCAGAACAAGCTAGAACCAAGAGAGATGCACCAGCGACAACAGCAGTCATGCCATTTCATCACACCTATCTCAGATCGTTTCAATTACTTTACAACTAAATATTAATCCACATCTTGTGTATCGCCAGCGCAAAGTGGCCCACTAGAACTAATAGATGTGTTCTGTCCAACATTGACATCCTAATACGAAGATGGATCTCTTTTTTTCTGTTTGTATTTTTGTGTGTATGTGTGTGTGTGTGTGTTATTTCAGCATTTTTAGGGAATTTCCGTTCTTTTTGTCTGTTCAGCTTTGTTCCTACATTTTAATCCAGCAGGAAATAAAACCTCTTCTTTCCTTTTCTGTTGTTTTATATTTGAAACGATTGTCAATTTTTTCCCATTGCAATCACAGTTCACATCCAACATCGTTTTTTGTTTGTTTCCATTCTACGTGTGAAGCAATTGTTCTTTGGATTCCTTTTGCATTCCCGATTTAGATTATATTTTTGTATTTACAGTAATCTTATTACATTACTTTGATTAGCAGAAGTTTGTTTTTTTACCTATAATTACGCAGCCGCTTCTCATGCATGTTGCATTTTCTAGCACTGCAATTTAATTTGTTTAAAACATCGCAGTTTTAATTATCGTTTTGCAGTCTCCGTCCCACGTCAACATTATCATTTTGCATGCTCAAGTCTTCGTCACAATCATCATCTTACCGACCCTGTCGAAAGCGACGTAATTATCACCATCTTCTTGAGGCATCCGTCATAAGTCTTAATTATCACCATCTTCTTGAAGAATCTGTCATAAGTCTTAATTATCACCATCTTCTTGAGGCATCCGTCATAGGTCGTAATTATCACCATCTTCTTGAAACATCTGTCATAAGTCTTAATTATCACCATCTTCCTGAAGCATCCGTCATAGGTCGTAATTATCACCATCTTCTTGAAACATCTGTCATAAGTCTTAATTATCACCATCTTCCTGAAGCATCCGTCATAGGTCGTAATTATCACCATCTTCTTGAAACATCTGTCATAAGTCGTAATTATCACCATCTTCTTGAGGCATCCGTCGTAAGTAGTATTTATCACCATCTTCTTGAGGCATCCGTAATAAGTCGTAATTATCACCATCTTCTTGAAACATCCGTCATAAGTGGTAATTATCACCATCAACTTGAAACATCCGTCATTAGTCGTAACTATCACCATCATCTTGAAGCATCCGTCATAAGTCGTAATTAACACCATCTTTTTGCAGTCTATGTGGCAACTGTAGGCATTATCATTAACTTGCAGGCTCCGTCACAATTTTAGTCATCATCATTATATTGCAGGCTAGATCACAATTGCAATCAGCATTAGTATCGTGCAGAAAAAAACCACAATTATAAATCTATATCGTTATTGTGCACCTCCGTCATAAGAAGAAATCCTCGTCATTATTTTGCACGCTCAGTCACAGGCGTAGTCAAAAATTGTATCCTCACTGTATTGCAAGCTCCACCCAATTAGAAATCAGTATCACTATCTTGCAAGATCCTACTATTGTATTTATATCGTAATAGTCGTCCCCTCGTGGGATGCAATTTTTTGTTTGAAATCCCACCCTGGCTGACTGACTGACTGACTTTCTACCCCATTAGGACATCACACAAGCGATAAACACCCGATGACACAAAGTGCCACCATGTGGATGAGCATCACCGTGGAGAGGTCCCAGAAACCACGTTCAGATAACTGGCCATATTGATGGCCTGCCTATATTGCGGCCCCTGGCAAAAGCCAGAGTAAGGCTTCAAATAACAAAAAATTACGTCCTAAAAAGGATGTAATTAAAATATATAATACCCTGGCTTCTGCCGGGATCCTTGAAAATAGCCGGGGCGTAGATATGGCCTAGCCATAGATATTGCATAACGACTGAAAAAGGTTTCTGGGACCTCTCCACGAGTGATCCTCATCCGCATGGTGGCACTTTGTGTCACCGGGTGTTTATCGCTTGTGTGAGGTTCTGGTGGGGTACAACTACCTACCTACCTCCCTGCAAGATCCAACACAATTAGAAATTCATACCATTATTATGCAGGCTCCGTCATAAGTAGAAATTCTCATCATTATCTTGCAGGCTACACCACAATTTATAATCATCAACATCATCATCATAATCATCATCATCATCCTCATCATCATCATCATCTTGCAAGCTTCATCACAAGTCTTTGTCATCATCATCATCTTCCAGCCTCCGTCACGGTTTTTAATCATCATCATCCTGATTTGCTTGCAGCTTCACGAGTATGTGTCGTTACGATAGTCCTTATCTTACAGACCCGTCATAACGATATATCTCAACTAATGTTTCCTAAAAACTAAAAGTGATAGCACTGCAGACATGATACTTAGCCGAGCTGGCAGATGAGGAGCACTGCTCTTTTAATCCAGCATCTTCTGCTGCATCGTTTGTTCCAAACATGTCGGTGCTACCGTTCCATTGGAGTAAACAAGGCAGACCGACAGAGAGAGGGGGAGACAGAGACAGAGAGAGAGAGAGAGAGAGAGAGAGAGAGAGAGAGAGAGAGAGAGAGAGAGAGAGCGAGAGATCATGCTGCTTAGGCACATTTACAGTACAGTACGTTTGCTGCTGTAGATGGGGACAGAGCTCTTATGTGGGTGCCCCGAGTGCTATGCTGTCAATTCTTTATTCAACATCTACAGTAATACACATACTTTGAGTTGGGATTGGAGGAGCATAGTTACAATGCTTATATATAGTACAATCTAGTACTATCAATTAGAAACGGAGACAAGTGCCTGTCAGCAATCTCAGTCAGGACCACATACAATCAGTTCAATATCCAGTCGGTCCCATAAATAGTCTGCCATATACAGCAAGTCTTAACCACAACCTACCCGAATATACAAACACTGCCACATTCAATCAGTCTCAGATGCAACATATCGCAACATACAGTCAGCCTCAGGTACAACCCGCCCCAACACACAATCAGTCTAGGATTAAACCCGTTCCAACACACAGTCAGCCTCGGATACAGCCCGCCC